ATGAATCGACCAATGTTAGACCACCATTAGAAACCTAGAAGCACTAGACGGCCGTTTCGTCCTGGTATGGGACTCATCAGCAGTGCGCATCCAAGACTCCTGCACCCCGCAGGATTCGAACCCAGGACCTTCGTTATTGTACGCGAACGCCCTAACCGTTAGACCATTGAGCCGGTATCTGACGGTGTTAATGTCTACCGTGATCAAATTCACGGAGTTGCGCAACCTCATACACTGTATACATCCGAACAGGTTTGAACTTCACTGGTCATGACTTCCCACTAGAACTCGGAGAAGATTTCTCACCAAGCTAGTCACTAGTGGACACATTTAATCGCATTGCGGGGTTGTTGTGGAGATTGTTAAGTTTTATTTGTAACCATGAATCGATCAATGTTAAGGCTAAACAACTGTCAACAACAACTAACTATGAATATTCTACTAGTTATCTGATAATCAATTCATCAACATGTAACTGTTATCGCTAATCATTTATGTGACGATTTAACAAATGAATTCGGATAGTGAAATTTCTTATTCTAACTCATAAATATGTTTATTCTCATATCAGTTTTATAATTTAATATTTCTACTAATAGCCTGAAGTGTAGAAACATAATTCAGATGATAAAGGAATGAGAAACTTGAGATTTTGTACAGAAAGAACGAGATTACAACAACAACAAGAGTGTAACTAGGTAGCTTCGAAATTAAATGAATGTTTTCTGAAAAGAAAACGTGTATGGAATATGCTTCTTCGTTTGTCGTTGTTAACCCTATCACTGCTGAATTTACATTCCAGTGAATTCTTCCTGTTGATGCTAAGAGCTGAGATTATTATGTTATAAGCGTATAGTTTCATTTCACAAATTTTACTTTGATTAGATTTTAAAACCAAAAGGAAATCTGTGTTTTTTTACGGCTTTACGTAAATTGATTTATGTTTCATTTTTTTAGATTGTTGGTAATCTTGTAAATATCTATATATCTATATATATACGTATAAGAAATACTCAGCCTGTTACAGACTGACTTACACTAATTGAAATCAAAGTTTTGATATGTTATAAAAACGGTTGAATATCTGTAAGTGTACTTGCACTTGAATGTGTATATATATATGTGTGTGTGTACGTGTGTACGACAGATGATTGAAAGAAAATAATTCTGTAGAATTAAGTATACTTTAAATTGAAGAAAAATAATCATTATATCCATGATTGTTGCAGATTATTTGTTTGTTTACCTTGTTCAAATGATTAATGACTTATTGACTTCATAGTTTATTGACAATAGCAATGTGTACCGACAAATTTGTAAACATTGGAAAACATATATATATATATATATACTTAATTACTACTTAGAGTTGTATAGGCACTAATCACTCAATTTGTTTATTTAACTTTTATTACAACTGGGTGGTGTTAGTATGATTTTAATCTGGATCAATTTTTGGCTAACAGTATGAGTGAAAATTCAATATTCCATAACTTCATTTGTATTCTATTGACAAGATTAGTTCAGCTTTTAAATCGAATCAGTTACTTGGAAAATTAAGATTTTTACAATTTAAATAACTTAATTATTAAGAATTAATTTCCTTAAAGAATGATATGGAGAAAAAAGTTTTGATTGCGAGAAATATGTAGGTTAGTTGAATATAGTTAATAAGAAATCTCTGATTATGGTGGAGTTCCGTTCTGTGAACTGGATGGTTTGATCATGTAGTTACCATTGTTCTTCTGAACAACACCGTCAGCACAAACTTCAGGTAGAAGTTAAGTGTTCTAAGAACAATGAAAGCTCCATGATAAAACGAAACTCCACCATAATCATCCACCTGAATTACAAAATTCTCAAACGTCTCACAAACCCTAGGTTTCGTACTGCCTAGTACTTGTTCTTAAACCATACCTGTAGTTTTAAGGGAACCAGTTCTCTCCTGTCGTTTTCAACACACGTCATCTAACTTGAAACTTTGGAACATTACGAAGTAGCGTTTCGACAATCATCTGACCTCTTGAGTTGTTTGGAGTTGATTGGGTACTAATCAGTGATAAATACGTGTCACTCAGTATTACATATTTGAGTTTTAATTGACTGTATTATTGCATCATAGCCTAATTTTTTTTCGGCTGTTGATACCATTCACGTAAAAACTTTGTTTTACTTTACTTATGAAGTGTTTTCTAGTTTAGCAGAGAAACGTACTCTTGTAATATTTTAAATACCTTTCTGAACGCCTCATGCAAACAAATTCTTTACAATATCTAAAATTCAAAATAAACGCACTTTGTTTTATTTGATAATGTAACATTCTGGTTGAAGAAGGAGTTAAGACTGAAATCCTCAATTTCGCAAAATATTTATTCACAATAAAAAAACGAATTTTTTCAACCAATAAATGCCTGAATAAATCCAAGTAGTCATTTATGACAGTTTTCAAGTAGAAGCATTTTTTTTATCAATTCTAACTTCTCTGGAAAATATGTATTCTGATAGACTAAATAAATGTCTGTTATTTGCTTTTATCCTTCTAATTACAACAAACTTTTGCAACTATTTTTAAATGTATTACCTCTTTTAAATCTTGAGTGTTTCACACTATCCATTAGCGTGTCCACACACAAACATCAACAAATGAATCTAAAAACTCAGTATGAAGTAACTAAATCTACTTTTGCCAGTTTATGTTAAACCATAGGTTTGATTATTTAACTTGTGATAAAGGTGGTAGCTAAATTAGGCTATTATTTATTGAACAGAAATATGCGTTATTTGGAAGTTTATAATAAGTCCGGATAGTAGAAATTTATTTAAAATACTGCTGAATTTCAAAAGATTTCCTTGTTATAGTATTATGATAAAGTGTGGTTTGATCTCTTGAACGACAAATACATCGGATCATATTTGAGTTGAAAATAATTCCTTCGTAATGATAAGGAATGAGAGTTACCTGAAAGTGACTAGTGTAATGTTTGAATAATACTACTGAGCAGTATGTAGCTTCTTCAATGATTACTTTATTGGATGTTTCCCGTCTGGTTCAGTGGATTGTTACCATTGATCTGATGCAGCTGGAATTTTCACCATAAAATAGACTTCGTTTAAATAAACAGCTGAAAGAAAAGATCACTGAGCAATTGGTTTAGTATATTTTCGCAGTTATGCTCTCTCCTATTGATTTTGATTGCTGGTATAAATCTGACCACAAAACGATATTCTAATTAACACTTAATCCTAACGTTAGATAAATCTATGTGTTTATCAGGTACATTTAGCGAATCCTCATCTCCTAGGGAAAATGGTCTTTAGATGCCGTTTATAGTTATCAAAAGGCATATTATCAACAAACACTATGAAAAACAGTTTGTACATATGACTGTACTGATTTAAGAATGAATTAATCAAAACAGATCATTTGACTGGACCATATTTTCCGTTTTAAATCATATTACGAGTATTCCTCTTGTGGATCATGGCGTTAAGTTTCTCAGTTAGGTTGAGATGTAGAACTAAACTGATCTGTAAAGCTTTATGCATCAGAAAAACCAACGCGACTTTTTAGGATATAAACTCAAAATAACGACATGTTAGAAAGTTTAGTACTTAAACTGTTAATGAAAATATGAAGGAAATTATCTAACATCCTACTGATTGCATTCAGTCACTAGACAGATAACCAAATCAATCTCATAATACACTCCTTTCAGTTAGAACTGTAATCAGGGACTGTATGATTATTGCTATCCAGTGAGTGATTGAATAACTTACATATTTTACTACATAAATATTCCATGACATTCATTTCTCATTGGCTGAATAACTTACACTATTTAGAACATTAAGCAGCTCAGTAAAAATGAGAAAAATTAGAATAAAAACCAAGAAAGCGATTATTTGGTTGTAATACAGAGTTTGTAGTGAGCTCTGTTTGTTTAAACGTTTAGCAGACTTTAGTACCAAGATCTAGTTTATTTTCTTTTGTGTAGCCCATTATCTGACTCCAGTTTGGACAAACGATACAATATGCCATGACGATAAATCTTTCATTTAGGCTAACCCCGTTTTCACAACGGCGGTCACAAGAACCCAAATACATATTCAGTTGAATGAGTTTATTTCATGCAGTCCGTTTATGTACACAGGTACTAGAAATGATGACTAGTAAAACGAAGTGAAACATACAAGTCAGGTGTACTAACTCTTGTATATTATTTTATCACAAGCCTTAATGTAGATGAAAGTAGGTAACGCGTAGTGTAACAAAGAAAGACAGGTATTGGATTAAAGTTTTGAATGATAGACATACACATACAAGGTGAATACGTGTAGAATCACAAGGACATGAACATAAGACGTATTTGTGCTGAAGGTCACAATTTCCTATGAGAAGAACGGGGTTAATAAAATGGTCAAATTGACGCAGTGGTCACATGCTGTCTGGATTACAAAAGTCTATTCAAAAATTAAGATGAATAATACAAGTACTGAATTCTTTTAAATATACACTACCCTACATTATGAAATGTCTGGTCACATGACGTTTAGTGGTCATGAGTTGGGCTAAAAAGTGAATTCTAAGTGTCACTTACCAAAATAATATTTTATGATATGTATTCATTATTGGTGACAATGATGTCGAGGTGAAGGTTGATATTAACTAATAAACTGTTTAGTGTAGAGTTTAACTTTTTCAACTTAAGGAAACAAATTGTTAGCATTTTTTCAAAACATCTAAGTGTGTTAGAATCAATTTATATCATCATCATTCATGGGATAATCATCATTTATGTATTTTTCTGTTACTTATTGATAATTATGTATTATTTTCAAGAACTAATAAAAATTTTCATTCATGTTCATTTATAAATTTAGATTTTCACAATATCAGATGTCAGTCAGATTATTTAACATCATCAAATTTGATACAACTACATCCAGAAAGTCAATCAGTTACGCTGAATAGTACTGTGAGGTTACAATGTCGTGTACGTATGTTGATAGATCCAGACACAGGAGCAGGTGTACAAGTTTACTGGTCAAAAAATGATTTTGGCATCGGTGGCAATCGTGAAGATATTCAAGAATATGGACGTAATTCACGATATGATTATTCTCGTTATGATCTGCCATATAATTTGAAAGAAGGTAGGTTACTTTCAGTTAGTTCACTGAAATACATATTTACAAAAATTTTGCAGTTATTCTGTCTGTTTCAACTGATAAACGATCGTTATGAGTTGTTAGTAAGTAGTTTGGGGTTTAAACATGAGATAAAACTAAACTCCATCTAACCTAGTTACGACTTAACTGAAAAGTAGTAAATCAGCTGAAGAATATAGAATGTGAATTTCTGTGTAGGAGCTTGTACATAAGCACTATGTTGCAGATGGTCCACTAGTCTTACCTTTGATACACATATTAAAATGAATCGTTTCGGTATCAAGTTGTTTCCAAAATTTTCATAACTTTCAGTAGAGTTTCTCACTACATAAATATCATATGTTATTATATTACATTTTTATCAATGTCAGTGAATGCTTCAATTCGTTGTGAATGTTTCATTCATTCGGGCAGTTTTGTTAACTGAAAAGAGTTCCACTGTGAATACTTAAAGCTTATTTGTTTGGACAAAGTAAGTTATTTTTAACACCATTCGATAATCAAGTAAACTACTCGTCAATATACTCCTGGTTACCTTATGACTGCAGAACCTGAATATCAGATGTTTCAAAAATAAATAGGTCACAAATATTTGAGCATGAAAGTCGATTCCGTTAGGTTATACTTGCTAATCAATGATCACATTAAAGTTTACTGCCTAAATGTTACGAACTTATTAGCGGTGTTGCGAATATTTACTAACGAAGTTAGACTGGATGTGTATTATGTATTTTCTACCATCTCATACCTCATCGTAATGAAGTAAACCTGTAAGAACCTAAAGTCAGTGAATTCATGAAATATTACCACTTCATGAAGTTACTCACCGCTTTTTGAAGACATACTAAACGACTCAGACATATTCATTGGGAAATGTAGTGTTTTGAGATCTTGAATGCCATGATTAAAATATAGATCTATTGCACTGATAATGCTATTAAGTTTCCACTGTACCTTAAAGTATTTCCTTAGTCTGCATATTCCCTTTCACGTATTTTACTCCGTTAGCTCACTACAAATTCATCTTTGATTTTGTTTCGTTTCTTTGTCAATAGGAAATCAAGCCTAATAAATCTATCCACATTTCTGTCAGACATTAGGTTATTCCTCTCTGTCTGAGTTCACACTTTATATCATAAAGTGATTTTCACAGAAATATAGTTCTTTTATCATATAAATAAATCAAACTATAAGCAGATTCATTAAACACTACATGAAGTTCAAAACAATAGGTTATTTTTCAATTAAAGTTATGGAGATTAGTGTTTTTAAACATTAAAATCATCAATCAATCATTGTTAGACCACCATTAGAAACCTGGAAGCACTGGACGGCCGTTTCGTCCTGGTATGGGACTCATCAGCAGTGCGCATCCACGACTCCTGCACCTCTAAGGATTCGAACTTAGGACCTTCGGTCTGGAATGATTTTGTTTTCGTAAACTAATGTTTTTGTATTTGTCTACATTCTTCTGTTTATGAAATGGATCAGCTAACAACTGAACATATTTTCCTTGGTGGTAAAAATGTTACTTAAGTACCGACTTTTAAACACTGAAGTTAGAATTATTGACTTCATCTATGTAAAATTGAATTTGTGCACAAGTGAATAATTTCAAATTCTGATAGTCAAGCTGTTCAATAATCTTTAATTCTTATTGTTCTTCAACCGACATCACATTCTGATGCAAAATCATTTTTTTTAGTTTCGTGTATTCTTCTATTATCTCTTATGTTTTCTATGAATTATGACATTTTTTTAAAATTAATTGTGAGACTTACTCTTAATTCAACCAGAATATTGTATTGAATTCATTTTCAGTAATATTTTGTATCATATTTCTGCACTTATGCTAAATATCATTGATCATTGAAACAATAGGTGATAGATAGATAACAATGAAACGAATAAATGTGTTAAACGTCGTCTATATTCAGTCCTTCTTTTTTTCTTTTTTCCTAAAATACATTTTAAAATATATTTTAATTTCATTTTCATCACCTTTATTGTGACTTCACTAATCACAATTAGAATGTAGTAAGTAGAAGGGACAGGAAATCCGACTTTCGTTGATTTTCCAAAAAATAAAAATTAAAAAAAAACAACACAACATTTTTCTCGTTTTCATTTTAGTCAAATCGAATTTTTTTTATCTGTTGTTTTTACAAAATTGTTACTGATAATATTATTTTGTATGGATATTGAGCATTAGAATAGTTGTTAATGATTCTTTTATGTTTGTTTTTTTTTCTATCATATTTTCAAAATATACACATTGAAAGGAAGTCATTAATGTTTTATACTTATCGGTTAAACGATTATTTTGGGGCACAGTTTTGGAGGTTTGCGTTTTTACACATTTGAAATCATTAATCAATCATCATTGTTAGACCACCATTAGAAACCTGGAAGCACTAGGACGAAACGGCCGTCCAGTGCTTCCAGGTTTCTAATGGTGGTCTAACAATGATGATTGATTAATGATTTCAAATGTGTATAAACGATTATTGTTTTTTTATGAGAAATCATGAATGTACATATCTGGCAATTTTCTTAAGACTTAGGAGAGTTATGTGTATGTGGACTTAGTAGACTTAAGAAATTACAAAGTAGTAGCAATTGAAACATCATCTACAAAGACTTTGAAAGATCATTTCTATGTGACATTGTTGAGATCGATATATTTATTGAATGTGTGAATTAGAATTAACATTACGGGGTTGTGAAGAATGTTAAGTTACACATTTTTGAAACCATAAGTCGATCAATGTTAGACCACCATTAGAAACCTGGAAGCACTAGACGGCCGTTTCGTCCTGGTATGGGACTCATCAGCAGTGCGCACCCAAGACTCCTGCACCCCGCAAGATTCGAACCCAGGACCTCCGTTATTGTACGCGAACGCCCTAACCGTTAGACCACTGAGCCGGTATCTGACGGTGTTAATGTCTAACTTGATCAAATTTAGTGAGTAACTAGTTAAATACTATCTAGTGACCAACATTCAACAAAATCTGTCCATGCGGCGTTTTAAATCATGATATATTGTAAATGGTATTTAAAGGTCATGAATGGAAATAAAATAAAGTAGAGATTATTATTACATCTAAAAGGCTGTAGATCCTAAAATTCGCCTCATAAATCCTAAAATACTTGAACTTCGATTATTGAACGAACTGAAAGACGAATATCCCATCTCTGAATTTATTTCAAAGTTGAACTGTCTGAATTGATAAAAATCTATTCATTTATTTACACGTTGCCTTAGACCTTTGAAGTACACATTTAAAAACTAATTATATATGATCTGTCGGTTTAGTCACTCTATAAAATGTAGGTCAGCTGTGTTAAGGTTTGTGTGCTTTCGTCGTTTGTGTAGGTTGTTAAAAGATCTTTTTAATGCTACTTACTACTTAGAAGGATAAAACTTTAGAAAAAGCTGTAATGTGTTTTAGTTTATAGTGGTAGATTAACCTCTGCTGATTATCTTCAACAACAAATTGATGTTTGGAACTCAAAGGTTTATAGTACTGTGTAAGGCGAAGTGTTAATTAAAACAAATATTTAAACGTCACAATGTGCATACTGTTCTTATGCAGAGTGTCATACACCTTTATACCTTTTATAATTCAATAAGTAATATCATAAATCTACAAGATGCATCGCCAAACGGTTACCAACATAGTACTATAATCCATAATCAGTTTTACCCCTATCATGTGGTTCATGTGATTCAGTTAAGAAAACGGTGTAAGTGACATTGCATTGAATCACAAACCTATTCTACTGATTAACTTACCGATGCATTAACCAGTGATTGGTTGACATCAAGCATATCATTTTTTGTTAGTGTTATAAAACACACTGAAATTCATAATCCATGCATACCCATGAACAGTAAAGCTAAGTGTATTACATATTTGAATTAAGTGATTGAACACTATGAATTCCTTTTTAACTATCATATTAACATAAGGATAATTCATGTTTGGAAACTTAAAAATTTTTTGAAAAAACTTAAGCATGAATTATTTGAGAGAGAAATCTCTACATATTTGTCTATAAATATTTAACTGATAGAAAAAAGAAAAAACTTAAACATATGTACTGTTATATCTACATATTCATTTCTGTAAATGAAAATAATTCTACCACATAGATGCAAAACAACCAATCAATCACTTTTTTTTAAAATAAATGATTTTATAGACCTTACAGTGATGTCAAATGCAGAAAACTATAAAAAGAAGAATTTCATTTTCTTCCAAATACTTAAATACAAGATTATATATTTAGATATATGCATTCAGTGAGGTTGGTCTATTGAAGGGCTCTTCAGAGTGTTTTATCCACCTTTTCCTCTGCTCTTGAATTTCAGTGATTAGTTTACCTTCTTTGTTCTTGATTGATCACTCTGATTTACTAACTAGCTTAAGGTAAATCATAAAGTTCTCTCAAATTTCCACTCTTTAAAACTTTTTTAGTTTGCATTTTTCAGTTCTCTCACATATTTTCGCTTATCAACTCTGATGATCTTCTTCACTAATTTGTGTGCTTCAGCTTATTCTATCTGTGCTTTGGATATATCCACTTTCGTTTGAATGTTTTCAACCATTGTTTTCCTGGTTTTCTATTCTTAAATCTTATTTAAACTATTTTCAGAGATTCTTCCTTTGTTTAGGTGCATCTTGGAAAACAGCACTACCTGTTGAAGTTATTGTCTCGAATCCATTTTTTTTCATTTCTTCTGCATGGTAGCCTCCTGTTCTTCCAAGAGATCTTTAAAAGCTTGAGACTTGTTGCTTAGATTTACTCTGAACTTACTGTACTTGTTTCAATCTCAAAGGAATTCCCCATCGAACCTATGAAGTGCTAATTGTCCTGTTGATTAACTTTATTTTGGTCACCACCAGGATGATGGTCTGGGATTTATTTTGTAGTAGAATATGGTAAAACTCATCCAATCTTTTGTGTGCACTTATAAG